TTTTTTTTTTTTGTTCTTCTAAGTTAGCACTCGCGCACACTTGTTGTAATCGACAGTCTCGATCTCGACAGAAGAAGGATCTTCCGTTTTTTTGGCACTAATGCACGAGTTCTCGAACTGTCTTTTAGGACACTCTACTCGAATTAGTCGTACAATCAAAACCGGAAGAAGCTTCGAGCAGTCTTCTCGATATCGAAGACACAAATTTCCCACTTATCGAACAGAGTAACGATTATTCCTCCATTCCATTCCATCTTATCGATTATTCGAGAACAGTTTCTCTCTATGTTTCTGATAACTTAAACGATAGCAGGAACCCATTCGTGACTGCTTTAACGAGCTGTCGGCTAGAGTTTAGTCTCGCGTGAAAGATCAGGTAGACTGTTACTAGATGTTAGAAGTCCCAGGACTTCCGGAATCTCTTTCCGCGATTCTTTGGCCAGAATGTCTGTATTATTTGGGCCTCTAAAAATTGGCTTGTTGCTGTTTTCGTAGTTGTTACACACGGATAACATGCTGTCATACTCATCAATACATTGTAGCATCGTCGAAGTAGATAACATCGAGATGAGTCCTGGAGGCGGCGGTGGCGGACCGGTCTCTTCGATGTAGTTAATATGAATGCCATCCATCATATTTTGACCAGTTGGACTGGCCGACGATAGCTCAGTCGGCGTATAATATTCGCTATTAACATCCTCCAGACTCATCCCTGCCGTTAGATCATCAATTTTCGCCTTGAAATACGTATCCATGGCGCTGAGATCGTCCTTACTAGGATCGAACACCATGGAATTACTTTTGCCACACGAGCCGCTCCGGCAATTGTCGAAATACAGATTCGGCAAATTCTCCAGCACTTTGACTAGCGTCTGCTGTTGGTACTTGTAGCTCTCTCGCAATCGCAATACCTGATGAGCGCTGAACTTACGGATTTTGTTCCGTTGGAAGACATAATTCTCGCGCACCCAGTTTAACTGGCTGGTGGAGTAATCTCGTACTCTCTTCACCTGCGAAAAAATAGAGAAATAGACGCGGTTAGTATGTACATTTATTGCATATACGACGATATCTCGCATTATCTCGTTATTATCGCAACAATTAATCCGCGCTACGTGACTCTTAAGCTCGATCCTGCTTTCTCGATAAAAAATTATTTTGCTAACACCGAGATGTAGATCAAAACAATGTAACGAGCTTCGCACATATAAGATTTTTCGCACACAATAATTTGCGCATTGCAACGAAATCACGTATATCAAATAGATGCGAATACGATAATTAAAAAAATTGTGTTTAATTGTAAAGAATACAATTCTGCCATAAAGAATAATCGCACAGAATATCGTACCTGATCATAATACTGATCTCTCAACGCAGTCAGGTGGCTGGTACCGTAATCCCGTATATCCCGTATATGCTGCATTTGACCTTCGTAGCTGTCGCGGATCCATTCCACTTGCTGAGCGCAGTTGTCTTTAATTCTGTGCACCTGTTGCGTATAGTTCTCCCTCAGTCTTTCAAGCTGCTGACTCTTGTACTGCTCAATGTTATCGAGCATTTGGTAGATTTGCTTTGCCCGCGGCGTTGCTCCTACATGTCTACAGCACACGCACCACTTGGCACATCCGCATCTGTGAGAAATATGGAAAAACCGTTAATGAGAGAGTACGAAAGAAATATAGAAAATCGTCGAAATTGTTAAAGGTGAATTTATCAATTGCGCCCGATCTTCCTGCGAGTTGTTTGGTCTACTCAGTCTACTCATCAAAGTTGATGCTCTTGACGAACAATTACTGTCATTCGCGAACTATTAACGGATCGACAATACTGACAATACATTTTATAGTGTTGCAAGGTATACGATATATAAGAAAAATACGATATATATGTCATCTTATTATATCACTATTGATACTCACTTCAATAATAAGTACCGCAGCAGTTGCACCAACAGCGTGAGTAGAAGGAACGCCGCAGTACTGACCGCACCGACGAGGATGCTGAAGATCTTGATATTGTGCAAGGTTACCGGGTCCATGTGCAATGTCACGTAGATGGTCTCGTTTGCGATTGGATTCACCGCCGTGCATTTGTACTTGCCCACATCTTGCCGTAGCAACATCGTGATGTAGAGAGAACCGTTCTCCAGAACACGTATGCGGCCGTCGTCAACGATCGGCTGATTCGACAACCAGCTGTGTACAGGCGGATGCTCGACGAAGGCATCGGGAAAGGCCGGGTCCGGCATCCAGTGAAAAACTAGACCATTCGGAGTGACCCAGGTCAAGGAGGGCGCAGGATTCCCGATGAACTCGCATTCCAGCAACACCGAGCTCAGGAGGAGATGCTGTTGGGTATTGGTAGCTCGTACTAGGATTGGTGGACTACACTTGAGGTAACGCAACGTCTGCAGGGTGTCTACAGTACCACCCACTTTATGGCCGCATTTGAATCCACTCTGGAAAGCCGTTTGTAGATGCGTTCTGCTCTCCGCCCATTTGACGAACCAGAACATACGACAATCGCAAGCCCACGGGTTGCCCTGTAGCTGCAATTCATTTAGTAGCGGCAGATTCGCCACATTCGCCGGTAGGAAAGTTAGATCGTTATTCCGCAAGTCGATTCTACGTAGAGATGGCGTCTCGTTAAGAGTCAATCGACCGATCTCGCGCAACGGACTGTTCCTGATCTCCAGAGTCTCGAGCTCGATCAGACCCGCCAAATTCTCATTCCGGAGGTTTTCCAGTTTAGTCTCGGATAACAAGAGAGTCCTTAGTCTGCTAATGGGTCGCCAGACCTCCGCAGGCAGCGATGAGATCGGCAGATGACTCAGGCTAAGCCATCGTAGATTGGCGAGGCCTTGAAACGCGGTGTCGGCGAGACGTGCGATTGGATTGTTCTTAAGGTCGAGGTGCTCCAAGGTCATGAGATCGCTGAAAAGGCCACGAGGCAGCGTGTCGATCTCATTATTAGCGAGATCGAGCACTTTTAGTTGAGTCAAGCCGGAGAATAACCGAGATGGCAGCTTGGTCAACCGGTTGCCGGCCAATCGTAGCTCCTGCAGTTGTTGATTCGGTTGAAAGCTATGATCCGGCAGCGAAACCAATAGGTTACTGCTGAGATCGAGTCGCATAAGCTCCCTGGCGGGCGCGAACGCCTGATAAGGCAATACGGAGAGCAGATTCGCCGCCAGACGAATCTCCTGGAGACAATTCAGGCCGTCAAACAGCAGCTGCGGCAACGCGGCTAACCGGTTTCCGGTGAGGTTCAGGTACTGAAGTTGATGCAATGGATGGAAGACGTCCGATGGCAGCTCGGACAGCCGATTATCACCTAGGTCGAGTCGCTCGAGATGCGTGGTGATGCGGAACACACCAGATTCTACACTCTCGATGCCGCTTGACGTCCAAACCAGACTTTGCAAGTTGGTAGATGCCTCTAAGGCGGACACTGGAATCGCAGCCGCTTGAACATTCTTCAGCAACACGTTTGTGACGTCTCGGGGCAAGCCAAGACCGAGAAAACTGCGCTCCACGCATACCAGGATGCCGCCGTTGCTGCTGTCTGTGCACTCGCAACCACCAGGACATTTTATTTGCAAAGATGTGGCCGACGACGATAGCGACGACGTGTTCGTGACCGACGACAGTATGTTTGAAGCTGCACCCGTGACTCGTACCACTGCTACCACCGCGACCAGAAAGATCAACCACCTCGAGCGCAGACCATCGCTTTCCCTCACCACCCGCTCCCGCATTCCTAAGACCTGTAATGTGACGATTTTCACAGATACAGTGATTTCCCATATCCCTGACAAAGGGGCTTCCACACGTAAATCTTCTTCGAACGAGTCCTTTATGACTGTACCGACTCTAGACTATCTACTAAACTAACCAGGGGTTAGTTACTAAAAGACTAAGACTACAACTAAAAGACAAGGATTTTATTTATAGCTCACGATCAGATTCTACTTTGTTTTTCTTTTTTTCTGTCCGCTCGATACCGGCAATAATTTCGATACATCGGTCACTCGACCACGTATTTAGCATCCTCTGTACCTCTAAAAGCTCCCCCCATGAGACATTCCGAATCTCTTCTGTTTCTTCCGCTCTACTATCTACCTACCGAGAATCACGGTCGTGTTCCCCGCAGACTACCCCGAATATTTCGCTCCCAAGGACAAAGCGAGACGGATAGTAACACAAAGAGGAGAAGAGAGCTCTTGGAGCCTAACCGTTCACGAGGAATCCAACGGCACCGTGTTTCACGACGACGGGTATGTCGAGGAGTCTCCTGACGTGTCCGACGACGACGATATTGACGCTGATGATGAATGATGATTCGAAGATGGTATTAGTAACGTGTCGTTGTCCGTTAATGTTGCCGTCGTATCGCGCCGGTAACATAATTGCGCTCACCTGTACCGTACCGTATTGGCACCGGGACAAGGAGCACCACAAGAGAACCGCAGAGAAATATCAATCCATCAACAACGTTAAACCGACACCGGTGATCTCACGTATGCACGCACGCACGGAGGATATACACGCAAAAACGGTTTATTTTCTTTCGTCTCTTATTCCCTACCCCTTCTCCCTCTCTCCCTCTCTCTCTCTCTCTTTCTCTCTTTCTTTCTTTCTTTTTTTCTTTGTCACGCCTTCTCGTTCTCCTTCTATTCGTCTCGATAACCGTCCCCGTTCGTGTCGGGCGTCGTGTGCAGCAACGCCGTAGCGCGCACCACTTGTCACCGTGTGTCACATGACACGTTCATATATATCGCGCTCCCGGTGGCCGGCTGCATCCACCCGCCGCGCGTCAGATGCAAAAAGCGACTGTGGAACGGAGCTCCGGTCGTGGCTCTATCGGAGCAGCGGACTCTCCTCGTGGCGACCGCCGGTTTGAGCGAAACGGCAACGTCGCCGACTCCCCCAGTCAGTCGGCGCCGACGCAGACCTCGTCGGCGTCTCTCTGTGAAACGAGTAGGATAAAAGAGAGAGGAAGAGGGTGGCGGGAGGGCAGTACCAGGTGCGAGAGAGAACAGCTGTAAAAGAGCGGCTCAACGCTCAACGAAAAGCAGTGGCAGAGCAAGGGCAAGAAGGGTTTGGATAGAAGGCAGCCCCTCGGCAATGGCCCTGTCGAATGCCTGATGAGAGTTTGGGATTTCCCGTTCTATTCGATATTCTATCCTCCGAAATGCGCGTGCCATTGGCACAGCGACCCAGGTTTATTTCAGCATCGGTTCGTCACGTCTGATCATTTTTTCAATATTTTCTCGAAGGTATTTCCGGAGGTGTTTCTCTCGGGTCGGATATCTTGGCTCTCGTCTTCGAGCTATATCGCAATATCGCGATTAACGATCCAAAATAATTTCAAGTTTAATGCCAAATTAGCTGCTAAATATTTGATGTTGTTTCATCGTTTGTAAGAAGACTACCACATATGATCGAGAAACAAGTGCGTTTTAGCCGTGATTAATTTTGCTTTGATTAACAATATTTAAGCACTTCCTTGAATACTTTCAGCGATCGGAGAGAAGCGTAAAGCTAATCAATTTATATCTCACACATTGCTTCTAACATACACTGACAGTTCAAGTTAAATAAATTAGACATCTGTAGTAAAACATGTTAAACATACATTCACGGTCAAGGCTAAACAAATCTGATATTACTAGTAAAATGTATTAAACAAACTTAGAATTTATTATAGAATCAACAAAAACCTTTTTTTTTTTCTTTTAATATAGTAAATGGAATTGTAAAAATCAGATCTTAAAAATAGGATCCGAAAATTACGAATAGAATTACGAACTCTTTTTAAGACTGGAACAAATCTAGAATCAGAAAGAAAGATTTTAATCTCTGCATCATCGATAATGTCTTGTAGATAAAGATGTAGCGCCATAAATAGAACTTTTAGGAGCTATTCACATTATGGAACAAAGTTCTGAATGTAGAATCAAGAAAGAAATCATTCCTCGTATAATAAATAGCATTATTGATTATAAATAGCATTATGTTTAGTAATTGTATTTTGCCTTGAATATTTCCAACTTTTGTTGTTGTTGTTGTTGTTATTATTATTATTATTATTATCTGGAGAGATAGTACTTAGTTGTTATCACTATTTTGTTCAACCGTTCAGAGATAAATGTTAAAAGATAAAGAAATTTTTGCCAATTGTTAGCTGTGCTGACATACCGTGCAACTTCGTGTCAGCGGTAGAATGAGGCCTTAAACATTGATTCCCGCTAATGGAACCGGTCGTGCAGACGGTAGAATTTCACGAGCATCTTAGCCAGAGGATACTCCCACGTTCGCTCGCGTTTAATCAAATCTATTTCGTTATGGTGCCTCGATGTCTAGCGTTTTTGGAAACCGCAATCATTTCTCAATGAATCAAAACACTCGTAATAGTTAAATAAAATTCCGTTGAAATGAAAATCAATATTATCGATCCGTATTAATCTATACTTCTAGAGTTGAGATGTAAAAATAAAAAGAGTTATTCATTATAGCTTTTATGCGGTTCAAAAAAATTATATGCCGCCAAATATTGAAATTTCTAATAATAAATAACGTTTGTTGGTTAATTTTGTTTTGGTTCTAGAGATATATTAGAGGTAATGATACAGCATATTATGTATTCTAACGTCATATTTCATTTTTACATATTATGAACGTAAACAGAATTTGTCATTAGCATAAATTATATATTCTAAATAGGAACAAAGTGCAATATCTTATCGCTGTATTTTGCTTTATCAAATGCAGACTGTGTACATTATAATATAGTTTCACTGTTTCTAACGTAACGGAAATGAAGAATAAACGTTTTCACTTTTATTTTAACATCGAACTCTGCTGCCTTTCTCCTGAATTTTTTCATTTATTGTTTTATTTTTGCTATGCATATATCTATATTTTATACACTATATATTTACTATTTTACTTTATATTGTATTGCAGAAAATACATGAATAATCTATGAATAGATTGCAAGGATTTGTCTACAAAATACCACATATGCAAGTTCTTTATAGGCACCCTGTATAACTGTTAATACGCGTTCGCTGTCGTGTTTCGTTGATTTCTGTTTGAATAAAGAGGGTATCGTGGCGTATTTGAACGATATACGAAGGATGGAAGCGGGTTATCCCTTAGGTCTCCACCGTGCAATATCGATCCATGACCTAACTTTGTTCTTCACTTTTGCCAGCAATATACGAGCCATTTGGAGCCGAATCGGAAACATCGCTCAACGCTGTTTCCAAGCTTAGACAGAGATTTAGGGTTACCTAAATCCGGAGTCGATTTAGAAAAGCTCTTCGGAGATCAAAGATTCGATATATGTTCATTTACAAAACTTAATCTAAGTTTCCACCAAATGTGGAGCACCTTTTATGTAAAATATATTAAATGTACTACGCAAGATATGATATGTAAAAAAATTCTTGTCTTTAGATTTTCCAGTATTTGAAGAATTAAAATCTTTATTGCTGGAAAAAAATGCTCTTTTGCATCAGAGCGATTATAAGTTTCGTGTATTCCGCGACAATAGCGAGCAATTACATAACATGCCGCTTATTTGCAAACAATCAATTCAATGGCGGAGGCCTTATGCGGATACACGGTTTGTTTTGCAAACCGTAGGAGCCCGTTAATTGCGCACAATGCTGGCGCGCAAGGGAAACAATTTCGCGACCGAATCAATGAGGTGAACGCCGTGGTGTTATGCCGCAACGTTGCTTATTGCGCGAATCAGAGCAACCATTTGTCAATAAACTCCATTATGATTTGCCGAGAGTCGTTATCTTTCGTACCAGGCACGCCTCACGAATAATCGAAGCTATTCGTTCGGTTAATAGATTCATCTTCTCTGCCATTGCATATATAATAAAGGTCAATAATCCGATAAAACTATTTATATTGAACGAAGAATTTGCGATAGCACGCGTTATTGGAACGTCAATCGCGTTTACGCAAGCCACAGGGGTCGGAATGCGTCAAGCTTTGCTGTTTGTTATTTTAATAGAGACCTTGTATAGCATACTCAACTTCAATTTCTGCAAAATTATGAAATTATTCAAAATCGATGAGAGATTCAAAATTATTTTATTCCAATTTTCTTTGAAATAATTTGGAAAAAGAGCACGTTTTATTAATACACATTTTATTTGAGTAAATATATTTGATTAAGTTAATATTTTCTAACTTAAGATTAATAAATATAAAATTTTCCATATGTTATAGCTGCGTAATAATCTGCATAACGATATGCATTTCGAAAACGCTATTCGCTCGTGACGCAGACTATCGGCTATCGCAATTCGGCTCCTGTCATTTGCGAAAAATATTACATCCCTATTTGGCTGTCCAGGATTGTCCTAGTTTATATCAGCCGTTGTATAACGAGTATTTCACATTCTTTCGTAATATTAATATATTCTTTTGAGATCCGAGTCATATTTTTGACGATTTCTAAAATGTAAAAGTTATTTTTAGATTCAATCGTTTACGATTCAAAAAACACTTGAAATGTTATTTCATTTATGTCGTTAATTACATTAAATTTTTTTCTTTTATTATGGAAACATCAAAGAGCATTTTATAAATGCGCGTTATCTATATCAAGACTTAAATGTATAATAATCTTGTTTTGCACTCAAGGCCGATGGTGTTTGCAATGTGACCCGCACCATTTTCAAGATAAATGCTTCATATGCGTATAATCATCTTCATCAAATATGTAGCGGCGCTCTCCTAGATTAATTCGCGTTTGTGGAAGAGAATTAATGAGCAACCTTCAACCTATTCATAACATAGAAAAGGATGGGGTCGTTTAAATTTTATGGGCTCATTCGGCATCGTTGATTACATAGTATATCGATAACACTTTCTACAAAGCTATCGATGCTTATATCATTATTGTAATAGACAAAGGAAGATTTTTTCCTATGACTGAGTCGCTCATTTTAAAAAGAACTTTATATCAAAAAATGTGAAAATAATATGTGTATTATGATAATCTTGCTATTGAATCTAATGATTCGTGAGATTTCGAAACATTACCATTTTTCGAGACTTGATGTGTCTAAATATTTTGAAAGACAGCATATTCTCTTTATTGTCATATTTTTCAAATTCTGGCATATTTTTCTTCCAATTTTGTTGATATTTCAAAAAGAAAGTGGAAATGAGATCTTTTTGAAATATCCGACTCCACCCACGCTAACAAATGTGCCAGCTCACTTGTCTAAACTGTCACGCACCGTTCGCCGATACGGCCTTGAGCATCGACCATCGTCGTCACCCTCGTCCTCGACGACGTACATTTTCGACTGCGCCACGATCTATAAAAGCGATCGGGTCGGGCGAGAAATGCCACCGTAAAAGCCCAGCGTAAACTCATGTCGAGTAGACATCATCGAGACGCTTTTATGACGTTGCCAAGCGATGCTTTGTATATTGAAAAAAGAGAACTTGGATGCAAAGCATAAAATTACGATTACTAATTATAATATTACTAAAATAATAATTACTAAAATATTTATAATGCTACTGATCGCGATTAAAAATAGAAGCTTTCGAGAACGGTATTATCAAACGATTAGCCATTTATTTTCGATTCCGTATATAAATAATATAATTTTATTGTTATATATATTATTATAAACAAAGCATGCTTTATATTATATATTATACTCTATTATTTTCTTATCAAATTTATTACTACGTTGAAATTCGTAGAAACTTAAGAGAGGAAAAGTTAACTACAAATATATTAAAAAACGAGCTAATATATATATAAGAGCCGAACGCAAGCTGTACACAACAATAAAAATAAAGATAATTTTAAGAAATTAATTGATAAATTGATTAGATATTTCGGTCCCACTTCAGGCCATCTTCAGTAACTATACAAAGCAAATT